CGCTCCCCTCTGGCTCTTCCAGGAGCCATCTCTGTCTTCTGGGGGAGCTTTCTGCTGGTTTTTAGGCAGTTTTTACTGAAGAAATGTCCCTGTTCTCAAATGGCGAAGCGGGATGCAGTCCCTGCGCCTCCGGTTTCAGGCACACTCTTCTGCGCACCCGGTCTGCCCCGGACGTGGGTGCCTGCTCCCTCTGTGGGCTCAGACTGCTGGTCGGAAGGGGCCTGGCGTGGAATAACTTCCCGGCTGGCCACTGGGTCCTCCAGAAACCTTCTGCCCTTTTCAAGCAGTCTTAAGAAATGTCCTGTTTTATAGGGTGTTAGTGACTTTTTTTTTTCCTGGTCGCTAGGTGGCGCCAGAGATCTCTCCTATTGTCCTTGGGGGGCTGTTTTTCGCCTCCCCCCACCCCGTGGGACAGAGAACAGAGCGGGAATGGTAGGGTACACCTCAACAGCTTTGGGGTGCTGTGTCTGCCTTGTGCCCCACCGTCGTGGAGAAACCACGCCCCGAATTTTGGTGCCCCGGGTCTCAGTTCAAAGCCCTCAGTTCCAGGACGCGGGCTGTAGCCCAGTTCAGTGGCGCGGGAATGGCGCCTTTTGCACCGCTCCCGTGCCTGGGCGCCTGGTTCCTGCTCACTCAGGGAGGGACCTTCACCTCAGTGAGGACCTCCGTGCGTCTCCCCGCAAGCCTAGGTCGTCTCCCCGCAAGCCTAGGTCGCAGGCGCGGGGACCTGTCTTCTGCCCATTTTTTGACTGGATTATTTTCTTTGTTGTTGCTGAGTCTCATCAGCTCTTTGCAGATTTTTGTGATCAGTCCTTTATCATTAGTGTTGGGTGCAAAAATGTTCTCCCAGTTGGTGGGGTTTCTCTTTGTTTTTGTTATTGTCTCTTTTGCTGTGCAGAAGCTCTTTAATTCATACAAATTAATTTTTACCAATTCATTTAAGTATGTACACACCAGTTAGCAACATAATGTAAGGGAGCAATTTCTTAGAAGTCATTTAATGAACAGCAACATTCATTTTGCTTTTTTAGTTACTTATTTAACAAGAACATGAATAGCACAAACTATGTGTCAGGCATGACTTTTGTGCTTTGTGTGTGTTAAAATCTTTGCACCCTCTGAACAGCACTAGAAATTAGGAGCTGTTTCTATCCCCATTTTACAGACAAGGAAACAGGGACAAGAAGGTTATATCATTTGCCATGTTCCCACTGCAAGAAAGAAGTGGAGTGGGATTTGAACTCAGGCAGCCTGTTCCAGCATGGTGGTGTACCAAAGATTACACCATAAGCAGTTCTCAGAACAGTCGGCCATGCAACAGGCTGCTGCAATAGAAAGACCATAAATTTTGCAATTTCAAATACCACAAAAACCTCAGGAGACAACTCCAGGTTCTGCAGCTCTCCCTTCTCTCCCCAGGCAAATACGGCCCAAATTAGCTTCCCTGGGTTTTAATGGCTCGAGGTAGAAGGGATAGCAGACAGAACTCTGAGGCCAGCCCAGTTAAAATGGAAAACTGTTACATTTGTTCTGGTAAACCCAGGAGCCACCAAAGTCACAAAAAGCTTAGTTTCCCAGTGCATGGTCTCTGTGTTATTTTTAGTAGCAAAAATTAGTCTTTCTCCTTTCCTTTTTGTACTATTAGATCACATCTCTATAAATATCCCATTTCCTAGAAAGAAAAAAGTTCTTGCCAGGATTATTTAAGATTGTGTTCAAATGCACTAGCAAACAATGCCACTTTTATGAGCTTTGTATTGTTTTTAGAATCAATTAATTTTCCCTCTTTACAATTAATCTCATTCATTAAGCAGTTTTCATACCATGTCTTTGAAGAAAAAAAATAGATATCTCAGGTGAATTTTGCTGGGTGTCTAAATGGAAACAATTCTTGGAGCTCAGTGTTTTCATTTGGAATAAGAATCTTGGCCTTCTAA